AACAATAGAAAGACTTGTGAACATTATGATGTAGGTATTTTATATAATAAAGTAGAAAATGATTTGTGTAATTCATACATTTAAGACATTGTTAGTCGTCCTATTACATTATTATTTAATGCATTATTCACCACGCGCATATACAATTTATGCTTTTGATTTTTTTAATATAGATTATGGATAATCTATTTTCAAAAAAAACCTTGGATAAAGCCATTATCTTCAGCAGGTTCAGATATTCCAATAGGAAGCCAATTAGAAGAAGAAATACCATCTAGTTAAGATTGTTTAAAAATATTGTTTTGTTGTATTAGTATCTATTGTTTATAAACATTTCTCATAGTAGAAAGTAGGGAATTTGAAAGGCGAAACACTCATAACTGAAAAGCCAATGGCTCTCACTGGAGTGACGGGCCATCAAATTAAAACTATTGGTAAGTTATTTTATTTTATTTTAGAGCGCCGAAAAGTATCAGATAATCGAAATTTATCATCCAATTGGAAATTAGAATTTATAGAAGAATATAAAAGACATAAACAGATGCAGAGAGAAGCAACTGATGAATATAGAAATACAAAAAACACGTAGTGAAGGATGATTTTCCTATCGACTACGCAGGAATACTTGGTACGGATTTCCTGCAGAAACATAAAATTAAGAGCGATCAAAAAAGCTATCTTCAAGTCGATGGAGTAACACTGAAACTCCATCCCTATAAAAAACTAACGCTAACTCCTCGTAGCGAGACCATAATCCAAGCGGTAACAGATAAAAATCGCATTGGAATAGTAAAATCAGAAGAAATGCGACCAGGAGTGTTTATTGGCAACTGCCTGGTAGCACCTGAAGAATATGCTTGCCCAATAAGTATGCTAAATACAACGGGAGAGACAGTAGAAATAATAACACCGCTCGTGACAATAGATGAATTGCGGGCAAATGACCGCGAGAACATACTCACACTACATACGGCATGTAACAAGAGCGACTTACCAATACTAACACGCCGCGAGCGTATACGAGCGCAGATAGGAACCGAGCATTTAAATCACAAGGAAAAGAAGACCATTGAGCGATTATGCGAAGACTTCTGCGATATCTTTCATTTAGATGGAGATATGCTGATGCACACGTCCACTGTGGAGCATGAAATAAATATCCGCACAAATAGCGCACCTGTAAATGTGCGACCTTATAGATTAC